ACTTATTAATTTAATTTTATTCAAACTAATTATCATGGCCTGTTGGTATTAAAAGAAAACAAAAACCATCTAAATAACATGTTTCATCCAGATAATTAATTTCTTTATGGTTGGATTTGGTGCTGCCCCAACCTGTTGTTCACCAACATTAAACTAAATAGTTTTTCAAGATGATGCAAAGTTAAATTTGACACTGTTGCCATTAGTAATAAAACTAAGAAAATTAGGTCTAAGGAAGTTATCGTCCAGAATTATAAAAAAAAATTGTACTTTTACACTTTTACTTGAGTTAAAAGCTTAAATTGATCTTTAAATAGGATTTATACTTCTACTTGATTTATAAACATTAATAATTTGGACACCTCTATATCTATATCTGTATAACGCTTAAGATCAAAATATTGTAGCAGACCATAAAAGACATTTAATATTTGTTATTATTTTGTTACATTTTAATATTTGACATTTAATTTGTATACAAAATTTACCGTTACACTTCCCATCTGCACATTTCTAATCTTCTTTAGTATTTAAACTAGTTCGTTGTTAGATTTTTACGTACCGAGCAGATACCTATATTTATTTTTATATCTTAGGTTTTTATTTCTTTTTTTTTTTTATGCTATGGTTAATTATATTTTATATTTTATTTTGCACCGTGGGGTTGAGAGGAATGAAATTTCATCTGGGTTGTATGTTTACCATGAAGCACATTTGACAATAAAGTTGAGTTGAGTTGAATAAAATCTTGTGGACTTTTATAAAAATTATGATCTGTATAAATGTACTTTTTTAAAAGACTATTTTGATTTGACAAGCAAGCTTCATAAGAGTTATTAACACTTGCAGATATCTTTGAATTCCCATCTGTTTCAGCGTGAGCCAGATTTGTGTTTTGATTTGGGATCTGCTGGTTCCCATGGCAATAAGTAACTGGATGCTGATATTAGAGGATGCTGTTACTATATTAGAGTAAAATGCTCTCTAGGTTATTTGGCCCAAATTAAATCCAGACTAAGGTAAAAGGTTTCACATAAAACATATTAAAACACTAAAGGCATAACATTCAAGGAATCCATTTATCAGATATTTTAATTAATTTAGCTACTAGCTAACTAGGATAAGTGGGTCCATGACTGTTAAAGCAAGACGCTCATGCAGAACCACTGTTCTGCTATATCTGCAAAAAGAGCCAATAAAAAAAATATATGAAAAAATACAGCTTTGGTTTACTTTCAGATGTATACAGTGGTAATCATTCAAAATGTCCCTACTTTCCTTGGCTGGTCCCCTACAATTCTTTTTTAAAGATCAATCTTTGTACTAAAATATTCTTTCTGTCATGATTTGTGGACATTAAGA